ATTCTTTGCACACAGGAAGCCAGTGTAAAGACTTCTCAGACAGGAGTGATGTGATCCACTTTCTTAGTGTTGTAAGGACTCGGAGGGGCCAGCGGCGTTCTGGAATCAGCTGCAGCTTTCTAATAGATTTTTTAGTGAGACCTGGTAAACGACACCATTGCCAGTAGTTCCAGTCTACTTGAAGGATTAAAAGCATGGACGAAGTTGTTTGCCAGAAAATCCTGCTGTGACATCCGCTCCTTTTCAATCCTCAGATATGTGCTCGTTCTAAGGTGATAGGTAGACTGATTTGGTAATCTGTTTTTAATGTGACTGTTGAACACAGGTCAATCCGTACTACACCTAGATTTCTGGCTTTATCTGTTGTTTTGAACATTGCAGGACTGAAGCTCACCGCAACTTCTATACGTTCTGGCCTTGCGCTCCAAAAACCATGTACCTCAGTTTTTGTCTTTGTTTAATTGGAGAAAGTTCTTGACACAATCCAGTCATTGAATTTGTTCAACGCACTTACCTCAGTGTTGGAAACGGAGCAATAGTCTTCCTGGTGAAATTGTTACGCTTGTGTGTCATCTGCATAGCTATGGTAACTTATTTTGTTGTTCTTCATTATCTGAGCCAGTGGTAGCATGTAGACGTTAAAGAGAAGAGGCCCCAATATGGAGCCTTGAGGAACCCCACATGTCATATTTGTCAACTCAGATGTGTATTTACCTATAGAAACAAAGCTTTTTCTTTCCTTTAAGTAGGATTCAAACCAATGTAGAACTGTTTCCGAAAGTCCCACCCAGTTTTCCAGTCGGTCTAGTAATATGTTGTGGTCAACAGTGTCAAACGCAGCACTGAGATCTAATAATACTAACACTAAAGTTCTGCCGCTGTCTGTGTTTAAGTGGATGTCATTGAAGACCTTTACAAGAGCAGTCTCAGTGCTGTGGTTTGGACGAAAGCCTGACTGGAACACATCGAAACAGTTATTTAAATGCAAGAAGTTACTCAACTGTTGAAAAACAACTTTTTCAATGATTTTACCTAGAAATGGCAGGTTTGATATTGGCCTGTAATTGTTCATTACTGAAGCGTCTAGATTATTCTTTTTTAAGAGCGGTTTAATGACTGCAGTTTTCAGGGCCTGTGGAAAAATACCTGATTGAAGAGTTTTGTCTACTATATGAAGTAGATCTGAGGCCATGCAAGGAAAACATCTTTGAAAAATCCTGTTGGAATAATATCAAAGGCAGCAGGAGGAGGATTTCAGAAGTTGAATAATGTCCTCTAGGTTTTTATTATTAATCTGATGGAACTGTGTCATGATGTCTGAATTGATATTAGATGGACATAGGGACAACACATTAGCTGTACCTGATACAGATGCACTGACTGCTTGTCTGATTTTCTGAATTTTGACACTGGGGGGTTAGTTAGTCTGTCGACGGTAGCAAACAAGGCACGTGCGTTGTTTTTGTTTTTGGTAATGATGTCAGAGAAGAAAGACTGTCGTGCGTTTTTCAATTCCAAATTATAAAGGCCTAGTCTCTCTTTATAGATTTCAAAGTGAACCTGGAGATTTGTTTTTCGCCACCCGCGTTCAGCTTTTCGACATTCTCTATTTTCTGTTTTCACGGTCATGGCCTTTCTCCATGGAGATATTTTCTTCCCAGTCACTTCCTTTACCTTAGTTGGAGCAATGCC